AAGTTGGGGAAGATGATGCTTGAGTATTTCCACCAAAAATCGAATTAGTATTATTTCCGCTAAAGATTGAAGCGGCTGTCATAGCTACTTTACGAAACATAAATGCATCCGCAGAAGTTTCAAAAGGTTTAAAAACAGATTTTTCAGAAGTAGTAGGTGTTGAAGAAACTACTGGTGTACTTGGAAATTGAGAATTCATTGTGAGAGAAGGTTGAAAAACTGAAGCAACTGAAGTTGTTGTTATATTTCCAAATGTAATTGTAGAAGAAGTAGTAGTAGCAGTATTGGTGAGATTTGTTGTAGGTAAGTTAATAGTAGTTTTCTCAAAAGATTTTGATAAAGAAGTTTGAAAAGGAGACATTGTATCAGAAGTTGTCATTGTACTTGCTATAGAACTTGATGCTGGAATGAAATCACCAAATAATGGTATAGATGAAGTAGTTGTTGTTTGTGTAGTTGGAGTAGTTGTTGTGATAGTACATGTAGTTATAGTTGCATTAGAATTCGAAATTCCTCCAAATATAGAAACATTTGATGTATTTGTTTGACTACTAAATAAAGGAGTAGCAGAAGATGTAGATAAACCTTGAATAGAATTTGTTGAAGTTTTTGATTCAGAAGAAGGTATTTCTTCAATTGTAACAGAAGGCGTAGTTGTAACCGTTTCCTTAAGAGAAGCTCCAGTTACGAGTTTTACAGAAATCTGATTTTCGCTTGATGTTTGTCCTAATAATATTTGAAAGCCAGGAGTTCCAAATGTAGGTTTATAATTATATTTTCCATCGACATTAGAACTATTAGAAACATTAGATATTTGATTAGTCGTTTGTAAAGCAGCAAATGATCCTGCTAAACTTAATGAATCTTGCGTTTGAGATGTCGTCGTTGATGGCATCATTTTTAAATTAAATGAAGTAGTAATATTTGAAGGTTTTGAAGCAAAAGAAAATGTTTGTGCATTTGTTGTTTGAGATGCAGCAAATGTATTTTGTGTAGTACTTTTTATTGATGTAGAGGTAATTGGAGTAGCAAAACTAAATGTAGATATTGATTTAGTTTTTGTTATTGTTGTTAATTGTGTTGTCATTCCAATATTTGGAGTAGTTGTTTGTATCTTCTCTGATGAAATTTCTGATGGTAATGAATCTTTTAATGAATTATTATTCAGTAAATTATTTTCTACTTTGAACCATACTGAATTTTGTGCAGCAATTTCTTCTGATTTCTGTGTTGATATATCAGATGTAATAGTATCAACTTTAGGTAAAGATTTTATTATATTAGGTGAAATATGAGCAGAAGCATTGCTTTGATTGAATATAATAGTATCTTGTTTTGGTTTAGTATTTTGAGATATTGTAGTAATTGGTAAAGTATTAGATATTTTTTCTGTTTTATTTCCAATTATAGATGGAAAAGTAATGCCAAAATTAGGTTTGCTTTGCATTTTATTTTGTGTTGATGCATTAGTTTCACTTGTGCCAATCCTTGCTACAATACTATTTAAGGATGCTAAAGGACTTTGTTGATTTGTATTTTCAATACTGTGTTTCTTGATAACTGAATTTTGTTTGGAAGTAGATTGTTCCATTTTGTTTTGAATATTAACATTTGTAATATTGAGAGAATTTAAAGAAGATAAAGTTGCTTCTAAACGAAGTAATATTTTCTCTTGACTAGGAGAAGGATTAACAGGTTTTATTATCCTTGGAGTAGAAATAGACAAATGTTTTCTTAATTTAATTTGTTTTTCTGGAGTGAAACTCAAAGTTCTAGAAGCAATTGCTTTACATCGCGCTTCTATAATTCCTGTATTTCTTGAAAGAGTATTGAAAGATTTTGGCGATGTGATATTCAAATTAGATAATGAACGATTTAAACCAAAAATACTATTATTACAAATATTTGATTTCCATTTATTTTTAAGTTGGTCTATTTTGCTTTTTTCTTCTTGAATAATTTTATTATGTAATATGAGATTTTGGTAAATGAATTCCAAATAAGGAATTTTCATACGTGACATTTCTTGATATTTATGATCTGACCATTCTAAATCTAAGATTTTAGTAGCTTGAGTAAGTTGTGTTTGAGTATAATAATAAAGTTTTTGTAAATCAAATATTTTATTACTATCTCCACAATTTCTAGTAGTAATATCATTAGTAGCTGCATTTTTTTTTGATTTTGTTTCCTCAACCCAAGCAAATGATTGTAATAACAATGCTTTTAAATATGCAATGTCACTAGACAAGCTATTTGTTGTTTTTTTCAATTCTCGCAAAAATTGATCTATTATAGTAATTGTATCTACAAGTTTTTGACGTTCTTCTTCTGTACCACATTCCCATGTTTGTGGTTCTAATCTATTACATAATTCCTTTTCAAACAAATTACGTTCTTCTATATAAGCACGATAAGCAAAATAATCTGCAGATGAATTAGATTCCATAGGTTCTTGCATAATTATTTCTTTAACTGATGTTAATTTAACATCCAATTTATCAATTTCTTGTGGTTGAATTTCTTTAGTTGGTTCTAATAATTTTATTCCTATGTTTGTATGTTCAGATTTCTGTTCTTGTTTTAGTTTTTCAGTTGAAGGTTGTACAACAAAATTACTTCCTTGACCAAATTTATTGAAAATATTTCCTGAAGAAATAGGTTTTGAACGTTCAGAAACATTTTCTGGTTGTTTAGAAAGTGGTGTACTAGTTGCTAGACCATTCATAATAAAAGATGTTTCAAATCCTGTTTGTATTTGTGGTGGAGTTCCAATAATTTCTGTAGGTGGACAATTAATTTGAGGACAATTAGGAGTCAAATTCACCATATGAAAACTACACAATTGTCCAGATGTTGCAAGAATATGAAGTATAGGAACTGGGTGAGGTAAGGTAGAATCTGCTCCCCATGGTAATTTTCTAACTGCAGATTTGTCAATAGCTAAACCCACTGGATAGCTTTCTGTAGTATGAATCAATGGTAGTTCAGCTCTGCCACTATCTACCAATTGCCATTGATTCCAAGTAATTCCTTTATCTGTAGATCCTAATACAGCTACTTCACTACTATTACTGCTAGCAGCAATAATTAAACCCCATTCTGGCACATGATCAAAATAATAACGTGGAATTGTTCCTTCTCCTTCTGCATCTGTTACTCCATAAGTAATATCTTCATAACAAGTAAAAATAGCATTTGTTTCACCTTTAGGAGCATCAATTATAAGAACATTAATCCCTTGTTCATTACCCAAATAAGCAGCACAAAACTGATAATTGCTGATCCATAAAATACTAACAACTTCTCCAATATATGGGTTTGGACCAGAAATTGTTCTAGCTACTTTTAAATCAGGTTTAAATTGTACTATATTACCATTTTTACAACCCACAACAATTTGTTTCCCTTTAGGACTCCATGCTGCACATAAAGCATGTAAACCATCATCATTAAATTTCTCTAAAACTTTTGATTCAATTTCCTTTTTTTTTTCTTTTATTTTAAAACTACCAATTGTATAATCACTAGCTATTGTACATAACATTCCTGATATAGCAGGATTCCATCGTAGATCATTCACAAATATATCTCCATTTGATGTGGAAACTTTAACTTTATGTAATAATTGTAAATTCTGAAAAAATAGATATAATTAAAAAGTTTTTTAATAAAAATATTAAAAAAAAAAAAAAAAAAAAAAAAAAGAATTCCATATTAATTTAGACATACATTTTTTGTAAGTGTTTGTGCATCATAAATTAAAATTATAGATCCATGTGCTGCCACAGCTAAATAGGAACAATCACAATTAAGTGTTAATTTAGACACAGCTACAGGTATATTAAATTCTACTTTCCACTCTGGATCATTATCTTCTCCTGGTTTTAACATAATTATTTTATTGTTTTGACCTACATATAATAATCCTCTTTTCTTATCTGTAACCAATAAACTGCATGCAGTTGGTATAGATGTAAATGCATCTAAAACTTGGGAGATGTTTGATTGTTTAAATTGAAATTCCTGAAAAATTACAATAAAATGTATATAATAGAAATATAAAAAAATAATATATATGAATATATATGTATATTTTTTATTTTTAAAAGAATGACGTATCATATAAATACATGATATAAAAATTTTAAGAATTTTATAGGCTAGAAAGCAAATATTAATACAATTACATTTTTAAAAAATAACATGTAATACCTGTATATCTTTTGGATCAGGCGCAGTTTTCATGTTTAATTACTTTATAATAATCTTTATATAAACAATTCTGTTTGAAAATAAATTTGCCGGATTCTTGGCAGGTTAAATTTGAAGTATACAAAAGTAACAACAGTTGTACAACCTTTGATTATGTGTATAGATTAAGATTGAACTATATATTATTTCTCATGTTTTTATATTGAGCACGAATAAGATTATAGAATAGATCTACCATCTTATGGAATTTTCTGTCTTATATTCTTGTACATCACTGAATTATAGATTTTTACCACAGAAAATACAAAATAGATATAATATTCAATGCATTTTTTATTTCATATTTCGGGAATAAAAAAACTTTATTATTTTCAACGCTATCGATTTGATTTGAAATAAAATTGCAATGTTAATAATGATTAAAATTGAAACTATTGAAACTAAATTTCAATAAAATTATAAATAAATATAAATATAAATAAAATAAAATAAATATACTTTATAAGATTATAAATAGATTTGAACATTTGATTACATTACATTTGATTACATACATTGATACATTTGAATATTATTTTTTGATAGAATATTTATAAAATATTTATATATTAATAAAAATTTAAAATTCCTTTTATTGTTTTCATTGAAGAAAGATTAGATTTCATTGAAAAAAATTATTAATAGAAATTATTCATTAATTCGTTTATTCTGTAAACGTTGTTTTAAATAAATATGGCGTCTTATGAATTAACACATGGTTCGGCTAGAATTATGACAAAGAATAAAATATTTAGATTTTAATATAATAAAAAATAATTATTTTAATTATCAATTATAATTAATTGTTGTTTTAATTATCAAGAACAATGAAACCTACAAGAAGAACAAAACCTATGGAAACAACGCAAGTTACAAAAACAATGAAATCTACGAGAAGAATGAAATCTACAAGTATTTTATATATATATAATTTACTTATATATGCATATTGTTTATTCATTGATGTAATTTTATTTTATATAATTATATTTTAAAAATAATTATAAATAATATTTACAGATCATAGATATCGTAATCGAGTACCAATTGATCCAGAAAAATTAGCAAAATATAATAAAGGTGATGGAATTGATTTAAAATCAGGATCATCTAAAATCAGAAATAAAGTAATAAAACAAAAGTTAAAAAAAAAGGAGAAAAATTTTGAAATAACAGTAAAAGATACTGCTCGTACTGAATTACTTTTGACAGAAGATTATGGTTGTTTGGAAGCTGATGCTGGACAAATAACAGTACAATATAATCAAAAACAAATTGCAGATAATGCAGATATAACAAGTGCAGCTAAACATTTTACATTAAATTTAGATTTTGGACCATATTATATAAAATATACTAGAAATGGTAGACATTTAGTATTAGGTGGAAAAAAAGGCCATGTAGCTGCTTTAGATTGGATCACAAAAAAATTAGCTTGTGAAATAAATGTAATGGAATCAGTACATGATGTATCATGGCTTCATATAGAAACAATGTTTGCAGTAGCACAAAAAGAATGGGTATTTATTTATGACAATCAAGGAATTGAACTTCACTGTTTAAAATTAATGAGTAAAGTTAATAAGTTAGAATTTTTACCTTATCATTTTTTACTTGCCAGTGGATCTAGAGATGGTTACTTGGCATGGTTAGATATTTCCATTGGAAAATTTATAAACTCCTTTAATTCCAGATTAGGAAAAATAGCAGTAAGTTTAAGTATATTTTATAATTTACTTATTTATTATTAACTTAATATTTAATAATATAAAAAAATTATCAATTATTTTATAGGTAATGACACAAAATCCTAGTAATGCACTACTTTGTGTGGGTGACTCAAAAGGTGTAGTTTCAATGTGGTCTCCAAATAGTAAAGATCCTTTGGTAAAAATGTTATGTCATAATCAAGCAGTAGCTGCTTGTGTAGTTCATCCTTATGGAACTTATATGGCAACCAGTTGTCAAGATAAATTTGTAAAAATATGGGATATTAGACAACTAGCAGGTCCAGTGCATAATTATCGTGTACGAGCTCCAGTTCAGCATTTATCATACAGTCAATGTGGTCAATTAGCATTAGCTATGGGAAATGTTGTAGAAGTTTATCGGTATTATATATATTATATATTAAATTATAATTTATATATATATAAAATTTATATATATAAATATAATTTCTATTATTAGATCATTGGCCAATGAAATAAAACCTTACTTACGTCATAGAGCTGAATGGACTGTGACAAGTATGCAATTTTGTCCATATGAAGATATTTTAGGTATTGGTACATTGAGAGGAGTCTCTTCTCTTTTAGTACCAGGAAGTGGAGAAGCTAACTTCGATGCTCTTGAAAGTAATCCATTCCAAACTAAAATTCAGAGACGCGAAGCTGAAGTAAAAGCTCTATTAGACAAGATTCAACCAGAATTAATATGTTTGGATCCAATTGCTATTACAGAAGTAGATGTACCTACCTTAAAAGATAAAATAGAAGCTAAAAAGAATCTTTTGGTGAGTATTTAATAATTTAATTCATTTTCTTTTTTATAATAATTAAAAAAAAATAATTAAAAAACTCTATATCATATGTTTATAGTATCTTAAACCAAAGGAAATAGATTTCAAACCTCGTAGAACGAAAGCTAAAGGTAAAGGCGGAACAGCTAAAGTAATTAAGACTAAAAAAATTCTAAAAGATTTAAATCGAAGGGTAAATAAATTTTTTTTTTGATATATATATATATATATATATATAT